GAGTTTCGCTCTGGGTAGAAGCAATTTAGCTCAACCTCTAGTAGTGGATGCTCTAACATTACAAAAAGTAGACAGATCCAAAGGAGAACGCCCGCGTAGAATCTTATGGAAAACAAGCAATTCATATTTGTGTCTGCGCCAGCAGAGAGAGCGAACACTAAAGTTGGCGTTCCTATCCGAGCAGAGGGGATGGTGTCGTAGAGAAACCCAATGACTCTGACCATAGGTATTCTTGTGAAACTGTTTTGAACCTTTTCAATTTTATCGATCACTTTACGTTTGTAGGGATTCAAAATAACAGTACCGTTTCCATTAGTGGTCTCACATATAACTTGTAAGCCAATAGGAAATTGCTAGGGTTCTTAGTTGTCAGAGTTCTAAAAATTTTGGAGACAACCTGCAGAGCTATACAAGATATCCTTTCAAAGCTGAGATCATGTGTCATTAGGAACCCGAAATCAACGATGTTATCAACCTTTCGAATTGCTGCACCATCAATACAGTAGGAGGGATCACAAGGACCGTGAGCGGAGCGGTTCTGAATGCATATAACTTTAGTTTTCTCTTTAGACAATGGCAAGCACCAGTCCTGTGACCAAGAAAAAGTAAGGTCGAGGGCATGCGCAGAGAGTCGCAATCCTCAGAAATAATTGCTTACAGATTTTTATATCTTAACTCCACAGGATGCGATTAAATCGAGCAATTCTTGCACGTAAATGCTAAGAAGTACTGGCGAGAGAACGCCACCCTGAGGAACTCTACTTAATACGGACCGGGGCCTGGAAAAGCTTGAATTAGTACGAACCACGAACCAGCGATCAGAAAGAAAAGCTCTGATCCAAGAAACGATGCGAGGATGTATGCCCACTGTCACAAGCTTATTCAACAGTTTCTCGTGAGGCACACGGTCGAACGATTAAAAGACATCGAGATAGATAGCATCTGCACACGTCCCATTATCCAAATAGGAAGTCAAGTCATTCAGTGTAGAAAGCATAGCAGTAACCGTCGACATACCCATCCATACGCTACTTAGAGTTTCATTCTTTCAGCATAAATACAATACAGGCAGGAGCTGTACATAAAATAAGAAAAAATGACCAGCATTGACGCATATGATTTCTCCTTAAAAACCTTTCAATAAGGGGAAAGTATTGAGCTCCGCAATGGATATATTGCAGCTAATTTCACTATTAAACTCGATTTGCATTACTTTCACTTATGAAATAGTTGCGCACTAGCTTAGCGCTATTCATTACATCAGCAATGCTGGTCAACCTTGATCAAATCCGATCGAAAAATGCTAACAGTGAGATAGACATGTTCACATGGATTTATCACAGAATATCTATTTTTTTTGCAACATAGACTTTCTCTACCACCTTTTACTCTCAGTTCCTTCCGCGCTAGCAACAAAGTCTAGAGCTTGTCTCTGACCCGTTACATCTTCTCTTTGATAATCACACCAAGTCCAAATAAGAGTCATATACTACACCGTTTGTAACCAATTACTAATGAAAAAGCTGCCAATTCCAGTAGAATGATTGACCGCTGAGGGTTCTATGTAAGCGTACAGAGGGGATGAACTCTTTCCTATTATGGAAGTAGCAAAATTTATTTTGGTCTTCAAGAGCCTAAGGGCACATCCGTGTAAAAATTAACCCGCGCCTCATTTATTTATTTAACGGACATGCTGTAAACATGTGAAACGAGGGAAATAACATGATCATGGAAAAGGAAATAAAACAAACAATAAGATCTTATAATGAACTCAACCAAGTGAAATCAACTTGTCGTCATGGTTTAAATCAAGGCTCGCAAAATGGGAATTCTACCAAAGCTGATAAGAACCAACATTTTATCGAAACTTTAGAACTTTAACTTCTTTATTACTAGAAAAAAGCGAATGAGATCAATACCTCATGGAAATCTATAATAGTCAAAATGCCCGCTATAACGCATCAATAGGATGATGAAGGATAAGTTTTCGGTCGTCAATCGAATGTGACTCAGCGATGCAGCCCCGTATTCGACTTCCATTCAGAATCTTAGTAGTGGTATCTTAGCATGTGTGATAGTGCACCACTTGCCACTACACCACATCTGCCCTCAATCGATGGTAAGAATTCTATTCCATTTCCTATGTTTTCACATTATTTCTTGCATCACTTCATTATCCTCTAATTAGATTAGCTTTCTCTGTTTTTTCTACAATACTGATTGAACTTAAGAGTTTCCTAATATAGCAAGAATCGCAGCCTTACTTCCATGTTTATTTATGGTCAAAATGTACGAAATTGAGCACAACTGCAATTCCTGCACCTACGATATATAAAATCCTATGTAAAAGCTTCATACATCGTAGGTGTATAATGCCAGTAATAATTAATAATGTATGCACGCATTATCTGTAACATTGGCGATCAGGATGCCGAAGAATCACGACATGTCAGGTGATGCTCCAGCCATATCAAAGGATGTACCAAATGGGGGGCTCAATTTCCTGTTGTTTTTAAACAACAGAACGAACAGGTCCAACAACGGAACCAACATGTTCAGCAGCAGAATCAAGCACTTTAACAGCAGATGCAGCAATTGCTAGCTGTGCTTGTGGAGCAGAAATTAGGATCGGAGCAATCACCCACGAAACAACAGTCTTCTAATGCGTACGGCGACCTAGTGCGGGACCTGCCGTATTTCAACTACGATGAGGACGACGATTCCACGTTTGACGCATGGTACAAACGCTATGGACGGGTAATCGATGATCGAGGATCTTCACTTCCCGATGGCCGTAAACGAGACCTTATTATCGATAAGTTGGATAAGGCAACATACAAGACGTATTCGGAACACGTCTCACCGTTGGAGCCGCGAGACATCGATTTATCCACTACTGTCAGACACTAGCGAAACGATTTGAACAGAAGAAAACTTTTCTAAGCATTTCGCTAATTTTCGTATACTTCGCTGCCGAAATTCTCAAGTCTCGGTGCCCCAGGAATATAAGATTCTTCCATAAGAAACAAGTTTTAGAAATGCGCGAGCCTTGAATGCGATCTATATTGCCGCCGTCTAAAGAACTCCAAGGAGCTCATTGAGCCCGAAGTAGTTCCCGTACGGTCGTTCAGCAAATTGCTGCGATTACTAAAATGTTGCAAGGGTCTTGCAACACTCGACTGAAGTAATTACCCTCATGGTATTGAAAGCAACCAGAATTCGTAAGGGACGATGTCAAAATAAGAAACAAAAGGTAGATCTCACGTTTGTCTTAGATAACCAGAGCCACTGTTGTCTATGACAGGATCATAAGAACCACTCGAAGGACGAGAAGAAAGATCCGTGAAGGGAGACGCCACTTGTCAAAGGTAAAGGCGCAGCTCACGACAGTTTTCGGGTATCTAGTTGAATAATGAGGGTAATAGTCAAGATTAAACTAATGAAGAAAGATTTAGAGAAATGCGATGCTGAAAAATGTATTAAGGATGGATGAGGAGAACGTGACGACAAAATTTGCAAGGGAGGAATATCGCGCGTCTTTGCCCACAGATGGTTACAGTGAGCTGAAGGCGTGTGCGTCCAGGTGCGAGTGATGTACCCTCTACAGCCGTGAAACTCGTCCGCCTCTGGGTGTATACGCCGGCTAAACCCGTTTTGTAGCCTTTATTATCTAGGCCGTTTTTCGACCCGTGTACTCGTGGTATCATAACAAGGAACCAACACGTTGCTACGTGTTAACCCATGTTATACTAATATGTACTGTATCTGAGACGTGGAGGAAGAAGAACACCGGCCTTTCGTGCGCTTTAGTGCGGCTTTAGCTGAGGGAATGTAGTTTTTCGACTAGGCCTCAGAAGGGAGCACCTGGGTTTGTGAGATGAACACCTCGTGCGGAAGCTGAAGACTCGCCCACTTCAGTGCTTTTAACCTCCTAAATCATATTTTTAGTAGAATACTTGCATGCATAAAATATGGTGTAAAATGGAATAACGCGTTATACAGTATCAGTCCGATCGCCCGGTTAACGCCAGGCTCTTCTCCTTCTTATGTCAAACACCTTCCCCAAGAAATCTCAAACTAGAGAATTTTTTCTCTTTTTTCAAAGTTTATAGTTTTTAAGCTTTTTTCCGCTGTTTAGTCGAGTGAGAGCATGAAATTGAAGCAGAGCTCGGAATGCTTCTTTGACACAACAGAAATCGAAAGCTCCCCTAATTCTTTGCTAAAGTTATAGTAGGTCTAACTTTCCACTCATTTTTTGAAGCAAATGACAGTTTCCTGTACACGAACTTTGACACAGGACTCAAGGTCGGTGCTTACGCCTTCGATTGGAATTATCGAAGTTTTGCTCTCTTTCTTCGAAATAAATACCCATCGAAAATCTAACTGTTAGACAATCAAAGATGATGCTGTGGAGATGTTGCGAACACTGATGATAACACCGTTATCAGATGTTTTTTTTCATCAATGAACCCTTTTCTTAACGGACATATCATTAGTTGAGAATTCCAGATTATTGGTGGTCGGTCAAGTTTCGTCGCAAATGATATCGACCAAAGAGGACTCTTCATTGAATCACAAACTTTGCTTGGTAGCGGTCGTAATCTAATAGTAGGAAATGAACAAAGTTCAAATCTACTTATCGTATTACCCTAATGGGTCCCTATCACTACACTTATCACTCACTTTTGTCACCCTGTACCATCCCGTCTTATCGAATGAAACATACTGGGTGTCAAAGCTACATCGTAGATACCGAAGATGTTAGGACTTCGATCGGTAAGTGACCTCTATTAGGTTCCTTATCTCCTTATCAGTTATGATCAGTTCTTATAACCGAGTACTTACGAATATTATATCCTACATCACTTACTAAAATGCTGAGGCTCCACTGTTGATAAGAAGAGTGTATTCACCAAATTCAAACGCTCTAGGCCCAAGTAAACAGGAGTTGTGCATTTGCGGCCCAAAATTTCTATCGCACCCACCCCGCCCCCTCTGCATGGAATCCGTTCCCGCCACCCGCCATAAGTGTTTCCATGCTGCCCTGTACTCCTATGAGCTTTCTTGGTCCACGGGTACAGCAGTTATGAATTTCCAGTCGGACACACGCATCGACACACAAACAACGACATACCAACAGGCACACTTAGCGAAATATATAAAGTAGGATAATTTCTTAGTGTACTAACACTGTCACTGCTGAGTGTTCCCCTCTCCTCCCAACTGCAACTTCACCATAACGTTCTATAGGAAAATTCTTCATGTGAAATTTTTGGCCTGTACACAAAGCACTCACCTAAAACTCATACTTTGACGCCAACCTCGTCGATTTGTTGTTGGTCCTTTCTCATGATAATGCTTTTACGGAAGAAGGGCAGTGCTAGACAAGAGTTTTTTCCGATGCTGAACACTCTAGTTGAGAAATCGCTCGTTAGCTTGTTCACCTACATGTATGGAAAATTTCGTCGAAAAACTCTAGATGTTCACTGCTTACCACGGACTGAGGGTCGTCTTCGGTGCTTATATGCTCACAACAACAAAAGAGTAGTCAAGAAGCCAAACTCAAACACGAATGACTCTACCAATTCAAGAAGGACCACGTGGAATCTGATAGGATGAGCATTCACTACGAAATATCCCAAAGAGGGCTCTCACCTAACCACCTAGCTACATTGTGGTAGGAGGTGCTGCTTCTTGAAAAATTGCTGAATGCTCGACTGACATCGTATACACATGATCTGTCTAGGACTCCTTCAACGGTGAGGAAATTCAACCTTGATGGCCCAGTTGGACTTCGCAATCATAGGAGGACCTTCGTTACAAGCCGCTAGAGTTCTTGAAGAGAAATTCAGATGATGTTCATTGGCGCTCTGTTAAATCGTAAGCGGGGAGAAGCACCGGTCCTAAGGTCGCTCCAAATCTTGTTATACGAATACCAGGGGTATCCAGAAGAGCTTACGCTACATCTTTTACCATTCCTGATACGGCCGCGACGCATCATATGTAGCAAGACAGTGTTGCGGTCCATGTTCTGCGTTCTAATCAGCAGTAGCATGAACGTAATAGAATGAGAGCAACGGAATGGCAGGCTATTACCATGACTGTAACCCCATCAAAACCCTATGGAGTTTTACTTCGTTCTTTAGTTACCTGAACGACACGCAGGGCAATACCATAAGACGGCAATATATCTGCATGGGGATAAATCAGTGAGGCAACTATAATATTACCAGTCTTGTTCAGGACATGTCAAACAAAATGTTTGGACTGTGGTCGACTTATCGAATCCTGATATTTTTCATATTTTTGCTTTTTCCATTATGCCTATACACTTTTATTATAACTTATTGATTCTACTGACTAGAAAAAAACTAAGCATCCTACTAGTTGTTGAGAGGATAAGTGGTCCTGGAACTTGGCATTCAAAATCTCCATTTTCGAGAACCACACCGGTAGAGTCATGTTGTTTCTTTTTTTTTGATTCTAAATTTGATTGGTCATTCTTTGATCTGCAACTAGAATCCTCCGTTCCTAGCCTACTTCTTCTTCAAAATGGGTGATGCTCAATCGATCTGACGGCAATATGCGCCATATGAGCAGCATAACTACGTACTGCAATATTACGGAACCTTTTGAAAACTTTGTCGAAGGGTCTTGGCAATGAAGAGCCCTAATGGTCCGTGTATCGAGAGAAATTTAATCCGGTAAAGAGCCACTACGATTCTGAAAAAGTCGATTCTCAAAGAAGAGAACTGTTCGACGTTCAAACACTTTTCCCTTCATCTCCTGCCCTCCAGAACTGTAAATGTTCAAAGACCGATGAAAACATCGAGTTACGATGGAAGGATACATCTTTGCAGTGGTCATTCAAGATGAGATGTATACCGCCGGATAGAGTTCCCAAAGTTGATCTCAAATCTGTGCTTCTAATCTGCTCGATGATTCTGTGAACGAAGTAACGGAACCTATTACCCTGTTTTGTACCACTGCACCGAACAGATAACTGAACCGAGCAATCTCGTCACTGTGCAGCAGTGGTTGGTAATTGGTAGGGTATTGGACTAGTGGGCAAAACATAAAGAGGCATGCAATGCATTCTATGCGTTTCACCTTATCATGGAACCATCGGATGCCCCGGCCAACGCCGGGCCTCCTTCCTTCCCAGGATNATAACTGAACCGAGCAATCTCGTCACTGTGCAGCAGTGGTTGGTAATTGGCAATTGGTAGGGTATTGGACTAGTGGGCATAACATAAAGAGGCATGCAATGCATTCTATGCGTTTCACCTTATCATGGAACCATCGGATGCCCCGGCCAACGCCGGGCCTCCTTCCTTCCCAGGATAGAGTTCTGAGCATCGGCTTACTGGGGCCCCTTCTTCGTAAAAATAATATTGTTTTATTTAGAAGGCGGAATTAGACAGATGACTAACAGGGCAGATGGCACCCAGAATGTGCCCGATGTTCATGGCTATGATTAGGATTCTCCATCTGTTAATTTTGTTGTTAATTCAAAGCTTCGGTTGCCCCACCACTTGGACCCATTGAAGGTCCAAGTGGTGGGCAACCGAAGCTTTGAATGGTATCATAAATAATGTCGAGTCACAATCACATCGTCGTCAAACGTCTCTATCATTGGAGCCTTCATATTCTAGGATATAGCATTAATAGACAATCCAAGATTATTTGGGGGTCGGATAAGTTCTGCCAAGAATGATGAATGAATGACGGAGCAAAGAGAAACCATTGAATCATTGAGTCACAAACATCGCTAAGTAGCGATCGCAATCTAGTAGCGAGAAGTAAACCAATTTTAATTTTCATATAATTTAGAATCCTTAATCGGCCCCTGTCACTGCTTTTACTGTTCTTGTTGAATTGGGTGAAACATATCAGAGAGTAGGAGCTAG